TCCCTACGGAAACCTTGTTACGACTTCTCCTTCCTCTAAATGATAAGGTTCAGTGGACTTCTCGCGACGTCGCGGGCAGCGAACCGCCCACGTCGCCTCGATCCAAACACTTCACCGGACCATCAATCGGTAGGAGCGACGGGCGGTGTGTACAAAGGGCAGGGACGTAGTCAACGCGAGCTGATGACTCGCGCTTACTAGGATTCCTCGTTGAAGACCAACAATTGCAATGATCTATCCCCATCACGATGAAATTCAAAGATTACCCGGACCTGTCGGCCAAGGCTATAAACTCGTGAATACATCAGTGTAGCGCGCGTGCGGCCAGAACATCTAAGGGCATCACAGACCTGTTATTGCCTCAACTTCCGCGGCCTAAAGGCCGTAGTCCCTCTAAGAAGCTGGCCACGAAGGGATACCTCCGCATAGCTAGTTAGCAGGCTGAGGTCTCGTTCGTTAACGGAATAACCAGACAAATCGCTCCACCAACTAAGAACGGCCATGCACCACCACCCATAGAATCTAGAAAGAGCTCTCAGTCTGTCAATCCTTACTATGTCTAGGCTGTAGTTTTGGAGTATGTGTTGGCTGCATGCTCTTTTCAGGGTATACCCTGTGTATATGTAATTCCGGTTCTCAGTTATACAATTTTACTCCCCCCGGAACCCAAAGACTTTGATTCTCATAAGGTGCCGGCGGAGTCCTAAAGCAACATCTGAGACTAGGACGGTATCTGATCGTCAGACTAGGACGGTATCTGATCGTCTTCGAGCCCCCAACTTTCGTTGATTAATGAAAACATCCTTGGCAATGCTTTCGCATTGTTCGTCTTTCATAAATCCAAGAATTCACCTCGACTATGAATACGAATGCCCCCGACTGTCCCTGTTATCATTACTCCGATCCCGAAGGCCAACGTAATAGGACCGAAATCCTATAATGTATCCCATGCTAATGTATCCAGAGCGTAGGCTGCTTTGAGCACTCTAATTCTCAAAGTAACAGCGCCGGAGGCACGACCCGGCCAGTAAGACCAGGAGCGCATCGCCGGCAGAAGGGACGAGACAACCGGGCACACCAGAGGCGGACCGGCCGACCCAACCCAAAGTCCAACTACGAGCTTTTAACTGCACAACTTAAATATACGCTATTGGAGCTGGATTACCGCGGCTGCTGCACCAGACTTGCCCTCCAATGGATCCTCGTAAGGGATTTAGATTGTACTCATTCCAATTACCAGACTCATAGAGCCCGGTATTGTTATTTATTGTCACTACCTCCCCGTATCAGGATTGGGTAATTTGCGCGCCTGCTGCCTTCCTTGGATGTGTAGCCGTTTCTCAGGCTCCCTCTCCGGAATCGAACCCTAATTCCACTATCCTACCATCGAAAGTTGATAGGGCAGAAATACCATCGAAAGTTGATAGGGCAGAAATTTGAATGATGCGTCGCCGGCACGAGGGCCGTGCGATCCGTCGAGTAGCCCGTGTCGACCTTTTATCTAATAAATGCATCCCGACCTTTTATCTAATAAATGCATCCCTTCCAGAAGTCGGGGTTTGTTGCACGTATTAGCTCTAGAATACTACAAACTATAACTGATTTAATGAGCCATTCGCAGTTACTGATTTAATGAGCCATTCGCAGTTTCACAGTCTGGCTTAATCTTGAGACAAGCATATGACTACTGGCAGGATCAACCATATGACTACTGGCAGGATCAAGCACCGCGCGATACAAGCCGCAAGGACTCCGCGCGATGCAAGCCACAAGGATCGCGACGGCGACGGTCGCATAGGGTAAAAACGCATTTTCTTGGGGTAAATAGAGGGCCAACGCCTCGCCTCGTACCCACTCAATATCCGAGAGATCGAGCGTGCCGCCGTGCGCCAACAACCCGGGGACAGTTACGTCTGGGATGTGGAACACGACGGATTGAAAAGGATGCAACGCAAGACGAAACGAGGCTTTTAACCGACACGATACCAACACGATAGGTACGCAGCACAGGAAACCGACACCGATCAAGGCACACTTGAACCGACGATTGAAGAGGCGCGCACAAGTTGCCGTCGCTGCCCGAGCAGGGATCCGACAAGCCCGTGCGCACCAAGCACCACTCACGCGCCCTGCCGTACGCAATGCACGAGAAGGCGCATCGTTGTCCAACCAAAAGCAATGCAAGAGCACAGCACTGGACAAACAACAACAACACTGGACAAACAACAACAAGCCCACCCGATGCAAGCCCACTTTTTCTTTGCGGTGTCACCACCACCCACTTATTTGCACCACCACCCACTTGTGCGGTCTTATTTGCACCGCCACCCACTTATGTGGTCTTATTTGCACCACCACCCACTTATGTTCCATCACTGAGTGAGTCCGAGCGAAACATTCCAACGGGCACCGACAACATGCATTCGTGAATATCCAACCTTGAGTAGTGCTTCCTTGAGTAGTGGCTCGAGCGAAACTTCCAATGAGCACCGCAACATTCAGGCAACCATGCCAACCAACAGCCGCTGCCCGAAACAACTCACTTTCTCGACAGAGCGGGGTTCGAAGCATAACTCGTTCTACCCACACCATTTTCGAATGAGAGCCATCCCACGAAGCACCGACTGCCGTATAGCAACGCATCGCCTATATTCCCATCACCTACTAGCACCGATTCGCTCGAGAGCCACAAATAATCATGCCCATCATGCATCACCGGAGTAGAGAAACGAGCGAGACAACCTTTCCCAATAGGCAACGCGCAAACCAACAGCATTGCCCGAAGGACAACTCACTTCCTCGACAGAGTGGGGTTCGAAGCATAACTCGTACTATCCACACCATTTTCGAATGAGAGCCATCCCACAACGCAACACAGCCGTTCGACACTCCAATCGCCTATTGGGGGCTATTGAGAAAGAACTCCACCCAATGATGGTCCGACAAGCACAAATTATCATACCATACCAACCCGTAAGAATGCATGTTGCCGGGCTTCGCCGAAGCACCGCACCGGCCTCATCTTGATTACCGACAAGCCAACTTCTTTTTGCGACAAGCAACCTTCTTTATTCGGCATCTTTCTTGACTGGAAAAAAAAAAAAAAAGGGCCTCTTCCGAAAGGGACTGGACGACCGACCGCCGCCGCAAAAAAAAATTTTTTTTTTTTCCGACCGACCGCCGTTGGGGGTGGTGGCGCCGTTGGGTTGGGTGGTGGCCGTGGTGGTGCCGCCCGCCCGTCCTGCCGCAGGGGGGCGCGAGCAACTTTCGCCCGCCACCACGGCAGGCCCAAGTTGCTAGCACCTTGGGCAAATTTGCCAAAGTTGCTAGGGCAAAGTTGGACACCTTGGGCATATAGTAGTGAAATGCCCCTATAGTAGTGAAATAGACATAATCAGCCAAATGACCACTAGACATTGAAAATGCCGAGGGAAGCAACTTTTTTATTTCTCAATATTTTATATCTTATTCAACTTATTTTTTAACCAAATTTTTTTCTAACATTATTTTTCCGATCTGTAATTATTTTTATTTATTTTTTTCATTCGAAAATATTTTTAATTACCAAATAAATAGAGAAAAATATCAATATACATTTTAAAAATCACGAAAATTATGCCAAATAGTTCCTGTTGATATTACAATAATTGTTGATTTTTTTTTTATTTTTCTGGTTTGTAATTATATTTTTTATTATTTTAATTCAAAAAAATACAATAAAATAGATAATAAATAGAGAAAAATATCGAAATATATTTAAAAATCACGAAAGTTATGCCAATTAGTTCCTGTTGATTATTCAAGAGTTCTGAAATTTTATTTTATTTTTCTGGTTTTTATTTATATTTTTTTATTATTTTAATTCAAGAAATACAGTAAAATAGATAATAAATAGAGAAAAATATCAAAATATATTCGAAAAATCACGAAAATTATCCCATTTGGCTCCTGCTGTAGTTACATGAATTTATGAAATTTTTATTTTATTTTTATGATTTTTAATTACATTTTTTTATTATTTTAATTCAAAAAATAGATAATAATTAGAGAATATTAATTCGGGTATGAGGTTTGAAGAGTGGAAAGGTACTGTGGATAGTTCTTTTACGAAATAGTAATTATTATTTATATTATTCGGGTACTTTTAATATTTAATTTCTATTTATTAACTAATATATTCGTTAAAATAGTGAAAAAAACACAAAAACACCAAAGCTCGTTACTACACCGAAAAACATAACCATTCTCCGTGGAATCATACCCCCCCCACAAGTGAACGTGACGATATCATCTTCGTAGCAAAAGATACGTTGAAAACATTTGTCATTGTTCATCGACTTATTGTTCCCTAACAACATGCCTTGCCCAAACTAGTCGGTCCCGACGTTTTCGGAGCAATTCTCGAAATCTGAGAAAACGGCCCCGACAACCACCGTGCCAAATTCAATTTCCTACGCGCTCGTATTTTTTATTATTTTTTTCGGGTCGGAAAATTTTCGGACTTTCGGCACCGGCCCAGCCAAGGTGCTGGCGACTCTGCCCAAGGTGCTAGCAACCTTGGGCAAAAACTAGTCGCTCCCGACGTTTTCGGAGCAAATCTCGAAATCTGAGAAAACGGCCCCGACAACCACCGTGCCAAATTCAATTTCCTACGCGCTCGTATTTTTTATTATTTTTTTCGGGTCGGAAAATTTTCGGACTTTCGGCACCGGCCCAGCCAAGGTGCTGGCGACTCTGCCCAAGGTGCTAGCAACCTTGGGCAAAAACTAGTCGCTCCCGACGTTTTCGGAGCAATTCTCGAAATCTGAGAAAACGGCCCTGACAACCACCGTGCCAAATTCAATTTCCTACGCGCTCGTATTTTTTATTATTTTTTTCGGGTCGGAAAATTTTCGGACTTTCGGCACCGGGCCAGCCAAGGTGCTGGCGACTCTGCCCAAGGTGCTAGCAACCTTGGGCAAAAACTAGTCGCTCCCGACGTTTTCGGAGCAATTCTCGAA